AAAAAAAAAATATTCGCGGTGAATTAATCAAAAATAATAATAATAATGATTCGTTACAAAAAAGAGCCCTCTTCAATTTTATACCTCGAAAAACAATATAACAAAGGAGGGGGGAGGAGGGGCAAGATTTGTAAACGTGTTTGTTACAACAAAATGATATTTGATTTAAAAAAAAAAATGTAAGAAACAACAACAAAACAAAAAAAAATAATTTAAACAAAAAAAAAAAAGAAATTAATTCGTAGGCAAACTCGTTTAGTTTTAACAACAATACTTACTGATATTATCAATAAAATAAAAAAAAATTTTTTTTTTGCCCGAATGATAGTACTCTGAACTATTCACACCATATCCCTCCCCTCCCCTCACAAAAAAAAAACATAATTTATGTCGTTGAGACATAGAAAAAATTGTTTTTTTTTTCATGTTGTAATCGATAAAAAATCTAAAACTGTTTTTTTTTTTTTTTTTTAAATCCATTTTATCAACACCCCCGACAAAATAAAATAACTGTATTTGAAATTTTGACCGTATTTTATAAATAAATAAAAGAGAGGGGCAGAGAGGGAGAGAGAAAGAGAGAAAAAAAAATTAAAAATAAATAAATAAATTAAATTATTAACTCACCGTTTTCAGATTGGCAGATCGGTACCGGATGCCTCCATATTCCACTTAAACAAATTCCAAAAGGGCTTCCTTTTAATTTATATCCTGTCTGGCATCGATACCTGGCAACTAAACCTCCGCCCCTCACCGTGTAACTAACCTAAGTACAGAAAAATTTTCTTGTAATACGAATTTTTGTGAAAAATACAAATTTCGTGACGTCATTAATTTTGTTTTGTTTAAAAATTATACTTTAGTATACGTTCAGAAATTTGAAAGAAAATTTTAAACGTACCTGACCATTTTGAGGACCGGGGGGAGGTTGACACGTTTCCTCATTGAATGCTCCCACTGAAACAACATAATAAATGAAACATTTTATTAAATATTTTAATTACACCATTTTGGTCAGTAACCTCATCATCATCATCATTTGCGGAAGTTAAATAAAAAAAAAAAAAAAAAATTTTTTTACTAAAACTTATGAGTGGGTAATGAGTAAAAAAAAAAAAACAACAGAGAGCTATCATTATGCTAAAAAAAAAAAAATTTAATTCATTTATTTTATTTAAAAAAATTAATTTAACGGTTGCTTACTTTATATTTAAAAAAAAATTGTTTGAATTATTTTTTTTTAAATTGTTTAAAATTTTTTATTTTTTATACAAAGACAAACAAAAAAAATAAATAAATAAAATCATGTCGATTCGTATAAATAACTTTTATAGGAAAATATTTAATAATTTATTTACGTGCGCCCCCTCCCCCCATTAACCGTTAAATCCTAAACGTGACATTAGAATTATTTGTTTTTTTTTTTTTTTTTAATATTAATAATTATTCGATTAAAACAAAAATGGGGGGAGATCATAAATTTTGTTTTTCACGTCTTTAGCTACCCTTTTCAATAACTTAAAAAAAAATTAATTTTTAATTAAATATTTTTACCCTATTTATAATAATAATAATACAATTCCTTATAGCCATCGAATACTTTAAATATAAAACTAAGAAAATAATAAATTAATAATGATATATACAAATAAAAAAAATTTCATCCCCGAGGATGGGTTTTATTTTTTTTTAAATTAAACATTAAATCATTTTAAACGGAGAAGACTTTTAAAAAAAAAAAATTCTTTTTTAAATATTTTAGGGAGCATTTAATTACATAAAACAATAATATTAATAATAATAATGATAATATAAAAGTGAGAATGGGTTTTTTAATAACAAACACTCGTTTATCGTTTCAGGACATAAATATTATTAAAGGTTCCACACCACAGGGTGGTCATAATTGCTCGATTTAACTAAATATCGGTAAACGAATGTGAGTGCAAATTGTATAATCGAAATTTTGCAGGCGAAAAATTCAATATGGCAATTATTTTTATTAACGTAATCGAATTGTTTTTATCCAAATGCATTTAAAACTATACAAAAAAAAAAAAGAATAAATAAACAGAAAAAATGGCCTCGAGAATTATTATTAGACACTATTATTAAAAAAGACTAGACTAGACACACCATTTTTGTTTTTGTTTCACATTAAATTAGACAACAAGATTAGTAAGTCAAAAAAAAAATTTTTTTTTCATGCCTACTCGTGTCAAAAGGTGTTATAAACATTAAAAACTATTATTATTATTATTACAACGCATTATCGTCCA